TTAGTTTTGTCTGTAGATAATTTGTAAATAACGTATCCAAATCATCGGTGCCCATTCAAAGGAGTGTGTTTGTATATAAATGTCATTTATCCAAGTAGATGATTTTCTACAAGTTTAACTCGTGATTGTATACTATAAAAGTCGATGCAAGAACATTATTAAGTGTAATTCACGAAGCATTAAGCTTGATTTTCGGAAGGTTGTATGCACTTTCTGTAAACATGGTAAAAGTGCATTGAGAAATTTCCGCATTATGCGAAGAAGTAAAATGTATAACTAGTAATGGTAGTAGTGTAATTTCCGGTAGTAGTAGTAGTAGTATCAGTAGTAGTAGTAGTAGTAGTAGTAGTAGTAGTAGTAATACTAAAATAATACTTGATGTTGGTGTAGTTATTGTCCTGTTGATGTTATTGCTGTGGCGGTATTAGTAAAAGTAGTTGTATCGATTCATTTCAGACTTGATCTATCAATATTAATTATTCCGTTTAGTGTGAGTGTTATATTGTTAAAACGCCAAATATTGTTTACTGATATTGATCGTTTTGTATGCATTGATTATATTATAAAGAATGACTTTACATGTAAGTCTATTTTGCTGAACACATGACTAAATATACATGGTTGAATTCATTATAGTTGAATTTAAACATGATTAATTATTTCATTCTTATTCATGTAATGTAATATGAATTGACAAGAATGTTTGCATGTCAATGTCTAAGACAGTCATACCTATCCTGTATAAGCCCTATCAAATAAATGTAAATAGTGTAGTGTGCCTTACATTTATCTCCTTTTGCTTTTAATATAATGTGTAGGCTCTAAATTATTCGTAGTTTAATGTATTGCAATAAACATGTCTATATGTTGTGATTACTATTTTTTAGAATACAACTATTATGCATCACCATGATTGGCACATAGGGACTAGTATGTGCTATACACATATTAACTTATTATTATTTATCAAAAAACGAAGTAATTAATATTGATTCTCGCAAAGAATATATGTACAGTTTAATGAAATTCCTACTGATCTAAGAATTCTATTTTGTTGAATTTTTTTGAAGAAGTCATGGATTTTCCAGATTATTGAGAAATTTTTATTTTTGTTATACAACTGTTTATTAAGTTTTACTCAAGTCTGGGATTCAGATGCCTAGGATTATCACCCCCACACCTTACCCTATGTGTGCATATGTGTGTTCTTGAAGAAGATCTCAATTGGGCAAAAAGAATTTCCGTTTCGGTTTAATAAAATTTGGAGTGGACTATTAGGCTATTATTATTATTATTATTATTATTATTATTATTATTATTATTATTATTATTATTATTATTATTATTATTAGAAATTCATCATTTGGGGTATATAACAGTTGGTGAGTTTATCGTTGTCATTCATATCATTGTACAAGTTAATGCTTATATATTTCATGATTTTATTGCTTAAATTTGTTGTAAGAAGATATCAATGTTGCAAATTTGTTGAGGAATATATACTAAATTCCCCTCAAGGAATATGTGTTTCTGTACTGTGTGCATTATAGATGGGCACACCCATTCAGAGATAGGTTTAATTTACTCTAGAATCATTACAGATTACTTTAAGACTAGCTGAGAAATAACTATGTACCATTTAGAGTATGTTGTAATATTGCTCTGTTAGTATAGTTTCATTGCTTGTAATATATAGTTCAAGTGATTGAAAGAAAGATAGAAGATTGAAATATATGCATGAGTCACAAAAAGGAATTTGGTGTTTACCCTCGGGATAGTGAAGTCACTTCCATTTGGGTTTCTTAGAATTCAGCGTGCAGAAAGATTGTCTCCATTGTAACGTGTTCTGCACAGCTACCAGTCATTGAGAAAGTGTAATTCTCAGCACAAAAGCTACTGGAAAGTTAAAGAGTTTGCATGATTAGTTTATACTGCACTGAGTGCTGGCGCTAGTTAACATATTTCATTTAAATGTATTATGATTGCATTTGAGTGATTGTTTATGGTTTATTATTCTATTAAAGGAAAATTGATTATAGATTCAGTTAGGAATAGCATAATACTTAAAGAATAATCAATACATTTAAACTATTCAAGATAACTGTTTACTACAATAATTGCAGTAACTACATGTATGTATAAAGACTTACCTAATTACGTACTTAGTTATTGATGCAAATATATAGACGAGGATTTAGATAGTGAATAATCAGTTTATTCAAGTATATTATATATCGTTTGTGTTGTTGAATTAATTAGGATAATTAATTTATGTTTGTATCTATTTGTTTCAGTTAACCACTGTATATGGTAATATACCTTATGTTGTAGGAGACCAGTCTGTAGGTCCCGTGACCAATATCTGGGAACAAAGGTTTTAAAGCGTTTTTGTGTTCCCTGATGAATACCGAACAATTTTGACTTGGGCTGCCCCTTTGAAAATCCCAGGCATGTTCGTGAGGGGTCAACATATAATCTGTAAGGACGCAGTCAAAATTGTTCGGTATTCATCAGGGAACACAAAAATACTTTCAAACCTTTGTTCCCAGAGATTGGTCACGGGACCTACAGGCTGGTCTCCTACTTATGGTACTTCACTTCGTTAGAATCATTCGCACTCTGAATGACACTTGGCTTGCTCGCCGTTTTATTAACGCGTGAGATCCGAAATAAATGCACCAAGGCTATATCTTTGGAACATATTATGACAAGTCTGCATCTTCGTGGTGATTTCATTTAACGTTGAGTTGACTGGAGTACGAGTGCTTTAGAGCGTTATAGTTTTCCCATCATGTAGAAAGTCTATCTGAGGAATAGACGAAGCTACAGAGCTTATGTTTTTATATGTTCAAATTACCATCCACCATGGAAAGCATGGTTACCATGTTATCAAACGATGATAGACATAGGGTCATCAAACAATGTATTTCATTGTTTGGTACCATGATTACCATGGTGGATGGTAATTAGGACCAAAAAACATGGTTATCATGGTAATTTTTTGTAATGTTCATCTGGAGGCATCACACCTTTGACATGAATTCAAAGTAGAGTCATCAATTAAGTACTAATCCAAATGTGACTGTTTAAGTAAATATGTACCACATGACCTAGTTATTTATTCCATTATTTTAATATTTTAAAAATAAACATTCTTCAAAAAAAGAAAATTAAAAATGAGACAATGCCTTGAAAGCAGTATAACGGGTTCACTCCCATGTACATTATCTAATATGTATATGGTGCTTCATGGATTTAACCTATGCATGAGAGTGCTGGTATATACTGCATCACAACAATCTCTCATTGAAGATATATATATATATATATCCCACTGCTGCCACCGTGACAATCAAAATATGAAAATCCGATTAAACAATGCAATGGTAAGATTTTGTTTTAATCATGTCTTCATGGTATAGAAGCACAGGGACAACTAGCCCGGATGGAGGATGGGAAGAGGGTACTTCACAGTTTATGATACTGCTCCATGCAATGGAGTAGACAGATAAGCAAATTATTCTAAGAGTGCTTTCACTGCCTTATGTGGTTTAGAACCAACATAGATACAGCACTGAATATTTGGACAAAGATCAAATCTGTATTAAAGTTTATTAGATATCATTAGATATTAGAAATTATCACCATGAAGAAGGAAAAAAGGTAGTATGATTTAAATAATTTCATAAGAAATTATATAATTGTTGGTACATGCTGAGGGGGGGGGGGCTGTACGTATTCACCCGGTCTACATGAACTGGATGTTACCCGTATTAAGCCTACGGAAATAAGTGAATTTGGTAGTCAACAGCTTATATGTATACCTAATACTGTATAGGCCTGTTTGTGGTCATCATAGGTTACCCTACCAGCCCGGCATTTAGCCTAGCTCATCTATCACCAACTCAAATCCCTTGCCCTTGATCACACAATCAATGTCGTTGGTAGCATAGGGGTACTGCTGCACGGCAAATGAGATGTTGACGTTGAAATGGATGTCATACTTTGCTGGTTTGAGGGCAGGGCAGACATCAAAACCTACAAAGTTATATAAATTTATGTTGTATATCAAAACGTCATTTGCAAGTCAAGTTGACATCACCAGTTGAGACCTACTTAAATGATTGTTCTAAGAAATAGGATAATTTTTGCTCCTCGGATGAAATATGGACTAACTTGTCTGCTAGCTTTATTATGATATGATGACCATTTTCATTCTAATGGCATTCAAGAACACTAGACAGATGTGCAATTTCTATTTTATTTAAATATCAATATCTATTTGTCTCTTAATTGATAGCACCATCATCTTCGACAACATATAGATCACTACCATCACCACCCAAATCCTTCTTCTCTTCCTCTTTCTCCTCAGTTTTTTCCATGATATATTCTTTATCATTTTATCTTTCTATCTTTCCTTATGTTTTTTTATTTGTTTCTTCCTTCTTTCACCTTCTCTTATGTTGCTCTTTGTTTTTTTAATCATTATATCACTTTCTCTTTTTGTCTTTCCTGATGTTATTATTTGTTTTTATCATTCTATCACTTTCTCTTTCTGTCTTTCCTTTTTGATTTACGCTGCGATATAGCAAGATGACGTCATTTTGACGACGAGGTTCGAGTTTTCTGACGAACCTCAAATCGTGGATAAACGTGTTCTCAAATTTTGCCTGACGACGTGAGACAACCCGACGCATGCGCAAATCGCCGAAATGACGTCACATCTTTGACGTCGTCTCTGTGGACGTGACAAACGAGAAGGCCCTTTTTGATATTTTTCTCATTTGATTTCAACGCTTAAAGCAAACTACTCTATAGGAAAAAAGTAGAGAAGTAGACAGGTGAAAAATTGAATAAAATTGGGCAAAAAATGCGAAATGTAGTTATTATAGGTATGTGCTCTTCAAATTGGCTGAATCGGTAAGGTGTCTGTTAGCCAGTGGCGGAAATCTTTTCCTCATAAAGCCACAAGCCACGTCCACTTCCGATAAACGGGCGAATCAGAATCCCGGAACCGCGGACACGGGCAGGCGCAGTCATGTACCCTGCATGCAAGCTCCAGCCAGCAGACAGCGTCTTATCAGAGTAGTACGGAGACCTAGCGAACGAGCCCGAGCCAACCACGGGGGGAAGCTGCTGGATATTCGAAGGAGTCTACACGCGCCAAGTGGACCCCGAGGAGATGGCATAGAAAGGCTATTACTTACAAGGGAGGCTACTGCTGAAATGATAAGCCGAATCTAAGCAGGAATTTTGGCGAGAGGGAAATCCTTCAGACCATAACTTGAACAGACAGAAAATTTATTTGCACCTGGAGGTAAGACCTGGCCAAGTGTTGTATATCATTCCGCCATATCACTTACATTAACGAGCCTGTCTACCTTCTTGGGCCCCGCAGAACGTTTTCAAAGTGTGTTGGGGGGGGGGGCTAAAGTATTTACGGTCATGTAGTGCGTAGCGTAAATTGTCGTGGGGTCCAGGGGATGGAGCCCCCTGAAGCTCAGGGGCTTAAGGCATTCAATTACGGGCAGATGATCATATTTCTGTATACCTTAAACAATCTTTGTAAACCCATAAAAGAATTCAATGCCAATCAATGATCATGCATGTCTGACTTTTTCACATTTCGTCCTTGCAGTAAATCCCTTTACGCCCACGCCTTCTCAACCATAATAAGGCCGGGGGGGGGGTATAATGGCCTTCCCTGTCGAATTTCCCTCATGTTTCCCGCACATTTTGATACCAAACTTGTTATGGACGGACCTATGGTTCGGGTTTTAGGTGACAAAATATGTATTTCTTACAAATGTGCGTGTGCAAGTATATTTCCCCCCAAAATTGTATATTGTCATTAAATTATTAATACAAAATATATAAATAATCATAAAAGAAAATAAACATTACCATGTAATTTAATATACTTCAATCTATCACCATGCATGCTAATATTCACATTAATTGGACCTTCCTAGGCCGAGATCTTAGGGGGAGAAATAATTCCCCCCCCCCCCCCGGCCGTATTAAGACCTCAAAAAGTCCGGCCTTTTTAGGGTTAAAGATAAAGTTGAGTTCTGGTCATGCGATAGCCTACAAGGCCTCCTGTTTGATAGACGCTGAGCCACTAAAAAAAGACTGTGTGTGGGCAAGTCTTAAACCATATTGCTCCAGTTGTCTCATTTTCGCTCGCTGGACGTATAAAGCAGACGGCAATCGGCGGATTAGACGACACTTGGTAGTGAATTTGTATGTGAGATTGCTTTGCTAAATATAAAATACAAGAACATTTTCCATATCTTTAAACTATCATTGATATCTGATAATTAAACAGTTATTAAGATTGACCTACCAAACTACATAATACAATGAAATACTTGACTTAAAGTAGGGGAGTTTGATGTGGTGCACAATTGCACCCCTCTGTAAATAATCGAATAGTCCATGGCGACCATGAATATTCATGTTTTTGCTTACCTCGGCAAAATGTTTGCTTATATATATCTTCAATGGAAAAATTACGGTGGGGGGTTGGCTGAAATGGACATAATGAACCGCTCAGAACTGCTCTATTATAATTCATGCTTCTTATCCTTCGTGTGCTTGACCTAAAACCTTACAATCGCTTGGCAAACTGAGTCCAAAGTTCGACTTGTTTCACATGTGTTATATAGGCAATGGCGAGCTTGCAACCTATTTTGATCAAAGTACGGTGGGTGAACTTTCAAAATTCAATGGGACATGAGGGTTCCAATGAAAGAGCTAGTGAAAACGTACGTCGGGGTGGATGTGCTTTTCGTTTAAACATTAAATAAATTGTTAACGATTTGTTTGGGGGGTAAAATTCCATAAGCTAGCATGATAGGCTGCTGACTCTGACGATAGGGGGCGATGTCAAATGAGACTAAACGGAGCTATATGCAGCACTGTACACAGAAAGATGCATATGGGACTACACAAATAGTGTCGGGCATACTTACCTTGATTTGCTTATCTTTCTACGCTCTTTATTCAGCCAGTATTCATTTTTTACCAAAATTGTTTGGCAAATGACATTTATTTGTAATCTTGAACATTTAGTGTAAGTTTCGTTTGATTCTGTGAGAATTATTTTTGTTTTCGTACCAGAACTAAAGTTTATTACACTAATTTATATTCTATTTTTAACACCCAGTCAGTTCAGTAAAGCATATCGGCCTACACCCAGATCACTTGTAAGGGCATTTACCCCGTTTACCATGTCTATGACTTGCTGTGCACACGGCCTGCCTGTACCTACCATTCCTTTGATTAGGTATAGCACACCAAAAATAAGTACAACAAACACATGTTTTTTTATGATTGCAAATGATTAAGTTTAATGAAAGCTTCAAAAAACAAAAAACATAATTGAAATCGGTCAATGCGTTGTGATTTTATACCATTTTTTTGATATCGCAAAATTACCGAAAAACCTGCCAGAAATGGTCAAATTGGCAAAAATTGCAAAATTCGACAAAGTTGACAACTTAATTCATCACTTTCTCGGACACAAATAATAAATTAAATTATCAGACACTAAAATATCATCTTTGTGGTAAAAAATACAAAAAAGAAAATTCATAAATCTATTACCGTTTTGAAAACAGAAGCAAACAAAATAAGTAATTTTTGCCATTTTTGCGAATCTGCAGATATGAAAAAGTTGTGAAAATAACTAAGTCCGTCTAATTAATATGCGCATATGTAATCAAATCAAAACCGAACATGATACATCAATGAAACCTATGTATATCAGACAGGTAAAATAGGTCTCCAATCTCGAAACTTAACCATTTTACAGATAGTAGGACGTATCCCACATACTTTTTCACCAAAAGTATTTGTTGTTATTTTTTTTTACATCTAGGCTTCCCAGGTCTCGGTTATTAACAATAATCTATTTGATGCAGTAGCCGGCAGCGTGAACAATATAATAACAGTTTTCAATGAAAGTACGTTACGTTCTGTGTAAATAAGTCCTTCCTTTCAGGATATAGACGCTTGTGATACCACTAATCAATACGTGAATGGCAATGAACATGATTAAAGGAAGTAAAAGTCTACATCATGGATTAACAACCGGGATAAAGCAAAGGGGTGTAGGGGGAAATTTGTTTTAAGAACAGTTCGTGTGTGAAATATAATACAATCTTTCTGATAAAATAGGTCTGCAATCTCATAACTTAACTGTTTGAGAGACAATGACGTATCTCACTTTCTTTTTCACGAACAGTTTTAGTCGTATTCAGAAGGAAGGGATGTTTTTTCTAGAGACGTACCAATTTGTCAAACAATGTTTGGTAGTAATTCGGCAAATAGGGCGTATCTTTAAGAATTACATACACACGCCCTTTTTTCCGAATTTACAGCCGAGCATTATTTTGACAATTTATACGCCCTTTTGCCTGACCGACAATTGCTCTGTGAAGACAAAAATGTGTTATTTTCCAATTGTTTAGTTGTTAATACACTGTCGCTCATAAAGGTGGAATTTTTTTTTTTTTATTCCAATTCATGGAATTATTTTAAAAATAATTTAAAAATGATAGATCTAGATAATAGTATACATTCTCAGATTTTATTGAATAATAATTTGCCAATGTGTGTTTTGCGTGACTGCTAAAGCATGTGTATGCTACTATGCTTAATAACTAGGGGACCTATGCACTTAAGTCATAAATAACAGTAATGAGGATTGACGCCCCACAAAAGGGCACTATTATGGCACATCGACACAGTTTTGATCCTGGGGCCTCACAGTTACGAGGCCATTGCTTTGTCACTGAACCATGACTGTACGCAGCGGGGGCTAGGGTAGGGGGCAGTTTCCATAAATAAAAAAAAACACAGAAAATGCAATAAATTTTCAATAATTTATTGCATTTAACCCCGGTGCCTAACATTAAAAAAAAATCTGTGTGCCCATGCCTTGAGCCATAATGCATAGCCGTCCAGAGGATTTTTTTTATGTTGGGGACCGGGGTAAAATGCAATAAATTATTGAAAATTTATTGCATTTTCTGTTTTTTTTTTAAATTTATGGAAACTACCCCCTACCCTAGCCCCCGCTGCGTACAATCATGGTTCAGTGACAAAACAATGGCCTCGTAAATGTGAGGCCCCAGGATGAAAACCGTGTCGATGTGCTTTATTAGTGCCCTTTTGTGGGGCATTAATCCTCATTACTGTCATTTATGACTTGAGAGCGTAGGTCCCCTAGTTAATAAGCATAGTAGCATACACATGCTTTAGCAGTTTCGCAAAACACACATTGGCAAGTTATTATTCAATACAATCTGAGAATGTATACTATTATCTATATCTATTATTTTTAAATAATTTTTAAAATAATTCCATAAATTGGGGTAAAACTAAAATATTCCACCTTTATGAGCGACAGTGTAGGATATCGTGGTTCAACTATAGCATGCTGTAGTAAAAGTCTACATCATGGATTAACAACCGGGATAAAGCAAAGGGGTGTAGGGAGTTATTTGTTTTAAGAACAGTTCGTGTGTGAAATATAATACAATCTTTCTGATAAAATAGGTCTGTAATCTCATAACTTAACTGTTTGAGAGATAATGACGTATCTCACTTTCTTTTTCACGAACAGTTTTAGTCGTATTCAGGAGGAAGGGATGTTTTTCTAGAGACGTACCAATTTGTCAAACAATGTTTGGTAGTAATTCGGCAAATAGGGCGTATCTTTAAGAATTACATACACACGCCCTTTTTCCGAATTTACAGCCGAGCATTATTTTGACAATTTATACGCCCTTTTGCCTGACCGACAATTGCTCTGTGAAGAAAAAATGTGTTATTTTCCAATTGTTTAGTTGTTAATAGGATATCGTGGTTCAACTATAGCATGCATCATTCTGTAATGATGTGTATCATATATTTCAGTACAAATTGAGCACGAAGAGAATTGTGAATAGATAGTAAGAATCATTTGAACAAAAAAACCCAAAAATACGTCTTTTCAACTATAGGATGCGCTCTCCCGCTTAAGCGGTGTTACTTTGATAAGAGGGCGTATCTTACTTACACCCATTTCCCCTCAAAGATGTTTCTGTTGGCCAAAAGGGTTTATCCTTAAAGGCCCGTTCACACAGAGGGGACGAATGGGGAACGCACGGCCAGCGCATTGGAAATTTGCAATTTTGGCCAGTGCGTTGTCGTGCGCCCAACTTTTGTCGAAGCTACAGCGAGCTGACACCAAATGCATAGGGTGTTGCTAGCGCGCTGAGCGCATACAGGGCGCATACAATGCGCATACAGACCGTACACAGAGCGCAC